ATAATTTCTATTGAGTCAGGTAAAAATGTTCAAGCTAATATTAACTATGTTGAATCTTTGCTCAGTACTCAGTGTGCCAACTCAACTAGTTTACTGGTATATCAGATAAGTTATAATTAGATAAAGAAATTCTTAAATGATATTATTTGGTAAAAGATTAAAAAATTTATTAAACAAATTATTTTTGATAAACTAATTCAAAAATACCAATTTATAAGTCTGTATTTATTTAGCAATAGAAACAATGTTCTTTAAAATTTCAAGTCTAACTAGTAAGATACAATAAATATCCAGATCATTATAAGAAGTATTAACAGAAATATATAATTAAGAATTAATTATGAGTCAAATAAACCCCTAAACGACACTTCACTGTGCGAAAAGTATTAAGTATTTAAATGAAATGCAATTATGTTTGAGGTCTGCAATGGGAACCAATGAATACAACTTTATTCATATCTTAATGTCGAGTATTGAACACATCCGATGGCATAAGTGTTGATCGGTTTGAGTTCATTCATTCACCAATTCATGAAATACCGGTTTAACTGCATTAGAGGACAGGCATTACATTACAACACAAGCATTGCATTCAATCATTTTATCCCACTATCCATGCATTGAATCAAAGAATAGTTGATAATCATTGCATTCATGTACTCAACATTAGTACTCAATTACATTATATGGATAAATATTTAGCCTGTTAATTAACATTTCAAATATCTGTACATGTCTTCAATCACTCACTAATTGTCACCAATTATTCTAATCATTCAGATATCAATTGGTCACAAGATATCATATTCCCTACTAATCCATGCACTTAAAGGTATTTTAAAAACTTATTATTATTTTATTATTTTGTAAATTATTATTTTTATAATTACTAGCATTGTATCGATTTATTGGTTAAACAATAAATTAATATCATAACAAAATTACTCATTAATATAATTGAAGCTATTTTTAAAATAAATTCTAATAATAGTTTGTTAGGAAAAAATTTCAATGCATTTAAATTGTGTGTATACACGGTATGTGCTAATACTGCATGAGTTTGATTCAGTGTAAATAAATTAGAAATTAATTCATTGAAATAATAGTAAAATTAGTGTTTTATAAAAAAGTTTGTAAAACTATTTGATTGGAAAGTGAATTCATTGACTGATAGGAATCTCATATATTATTCAATGAATATGAATAGTATAGAAATGAATGAAATGAATGTAAATACAGTGAATAATATGATAGTGTTTTCGTATTGAATGAATGTTTTGGTGTAGTGTTGGGCACATAGTGTGAGACACTGTGAGACTCGTTGGCCTTGAATTGGCTTTTGGTTTGCTTTTTGGGATTCATTTGATGATTGTTTGCATCACTCGATGGCTCTATTCATGACACAAACATCACTTGACCACCGATTGTGACCAATATATGAGACAATGTATGCATCCATTCATGTGGTCCATGGACTCCAACTCGAGAGTGAATGCAATCACTGTTTGTTTGTTTAGCTTTCGGTTCAATCGATTGGACACTAAATCTGAGTCCAAATCCAAACCATTAGTCAATTGTTGTGACATTTAATGAGATTTCGGTGAATAGTTTGTGTGAACTTTGAATGAAGTGTTGATTCAATGAAATCTAATTGTATTGAAATGCATTGAAAGGTCAATGAGTGGTCGATATCATGTCAATCAGTGGTCACACGAATGGAGTGATTGTCACCAAAAACGCCAATTCAAGCATCAAATCAGAGGTGATTGATATGAAAGTGAAGGACAACTGTTTGGCAAAGAGTTTGACTCAACTCAAGACATCCATCGGTTCCGTGAATTGCAATTCAAATGTAATGATATTTTGTGGCCAAAAGTCAAGACAACGCAATGATTCAGTTTCATCGATGTCTACCATAAGTACAACGAATGCCTCCAATCCACCCAAACAAGAGGTGATCCTTACATACCATTCTATGGTAGCCATCAATGATAACGTATTGACACTCTTGTCACTCATCTTAATGAATAGGATCTGTACTCGACTTCTGGAGAGCAATCGGAGCCGTCATCGTCGCCATTGAGCGCCAATGAGACCCAACCGCAGGACATGTTCTGCTCGAGCACTATGTCGGGCGACTGTTCCAGTAATACGAGTGCCGATATCATTGATGCCAAGTCTGGTGACAACTCTCCCAAACGGGTCTGTTTGGTGTGCGGGGACACGGCGTCCGGATTTCATTACGGAGTCGCCTGTATGTCAACACTTTGTGTCCATATATTGTACTCAATTTAATGTGTATTTCTATTGATTTAATTGTAAAGCATGTGAGGCTTGTAAAGCATTCTTCAAGAGAACCATTCAGGGTATGTGTGAATGACAACAAACTGTACACCACTTGATAACTGATAACTATATGCCATTTCAGGCAACATTGAGTACACGTGTCCGGCGGCTAACGATTGTGAGATCAATAAGAGGAGGCGGAAGGCCTGTCAGGCGTGTCGGTTCCAGAAGTGTCTGCGTATGGGAATGCTTAAGGAAGGCGTACGTCTGGATCGGGTGAGAGGTGGCCGACAGAAGTATCGCCGCAGCTCTGAAAGTCCGTATCAGATGCAGAATATGTCACCCATTAAGAAGACAAGCATCGAAGGTGTGACTAATCAACCACTGCTTTCAATAATATTTTGTTTGTTTTTAGAAAATAAGATCATATCTGCTCTGATTGGCTGCGAACCGGAACCCCTGTTAGCTATGAGTTGTCAGAATTCGCCGACATCTCCATCGACACAATACAAGAGTATTTGTCTGTTGAGTGATCTCGTGGACAGAGAACTGGTCGCCACAATCGGATGGTATGATTGATAAACGTCTTGATGTGTAAAATAATATGTGAATGAATTTCAGGGCCAAACAAATCCCCGGTTTTACTGATTTGATTCTTAACGATCAGATGAGACTATTGCAGACGACTTGGGCTGAAGTGCTCTCTCTTTCGTTAGCGTTTCGGTCAGTTTTGCCGATCATATGGAACTGAATTAAATGAATGCCATTTCATTGGTTTAGGTCTCATCAGTATTGCATGCAATCCACAGCACCGACATCTGCCAGTGCTGGCACAACGCCCACTAAACTTGTTTTTGCCAATGACTTGATTATGGATTCAGAACAGGCCGGACAGTGTAGGGCCGATGAACTGTTCAACCATTCGATACAATTAGTGAAAAGACTTAATTTAATAAAAATAGCAAAAGAAGAATATCTACTTTTAAAAGCAATTCTTTTAACAAATGCTGGTATTATTGCCATTCAATTACTGATTGTAACAATTGCTATAAATATTGTGTATTTCTGTTAATAGATATTCTGTTAGAAGACTCGCAATCGGTTTACAAATTACGCGAAACTCTATTAACAACACTTCAAGAATGTGTATCTGTTTTACGGCCATTCAATTGTGTCAATCATTTAAGCCAATTGTTGTTATGCATGCCTTTATTGAGACAATTAGATGGTGTGACCAGACGTTACTGGAATAGTGTTCGCAGAGAGAGTAACGTTCCGATGAATAAATTATTTGTCGAAATGCTTGAGTCAAACATAACGATGCGTTGACTCGACTATACATTGTTTTAAATATGGATTTGTTTGCGAACATCACTTAATTGAATACACTTTGGAAACAATACATATAATACAGGGTATTATTTAATGACAAACCGATTGCCAATATTTTGCAAATATCTGCAAATATCGATGGTTTGGGTTTGAGTTGATCTACGGTTAAGAATCTATTAATAGGTTTAGAATATCTCTAAAGGCTTTGCTTTACATAATTTACAAAATTCTTATTACTTATGCTTCCATTCAATTGCTATTATATTATTCAAAGTTTATGATATTTTCTGACATGTCTTCAGAACACCTCTTTTGAACGATTATTAACACATTTATGCAATTATACAAAACTTTTGTCAAACACTGCCATTGAATTGAATTTTTGTAAACAATTACTTTTAAATAACTACAATAACCTCAGTCTAAGCTTTTTAGCTTAAATTGCATTGAATTTTAGAGGATATAGAGTAATGTAGAGATTGGTGTTAAATACGCTAAGAAAGTATTACCATATATTAGATATGAAAACAGTTTAATACCTATTACACTGGTTAGAGAGTAATGGTCTAATTGGTCACTTAATATTGAGTTTACGCACAAAACACGCAATTGTAATCATTTTAGGATAAATACAGAGTTTTGTTTGATTTAAATATTATTGCTAAACACTATAACCAGGGATAACGTAATAATAGATGGATTGTGCGATACTTTATATACATGTATAGAGTATTATCGCATTTATTGTTATACATAGTGTTAATAAACTGAATGAATGAACACAACAACGAGTAAATGATAAATCATTACAATTAAGGCTTAACTTATTCTTTGTTCTCATTTCTAAACTGATATAACCGTCCAGTGATATGATATGACATGATATCTATTGATTGAATTATTGTTTTATTTTAATTCAATGCAAGTCTTAATATAATTATATTTCAATTATTTGGTGGATTACTTCCACTCATATTGAGATTTTGAGGATTAAAAATAATTTATTTTTGCTTCAATCCATTTAAAGTACAATTTATTCAAATATTATATCTATTTATAAAAGTTTTATCTAATATTACTTCAAATATTGAGTGCTTTTCAGTGAACATCGACTAACTTTTAGGCAATTATATTATAAACTTTGTTTCAATTACAGAAGTATTAATGATTGTAATTATTCAAAAATAGACAATGATTTTCATTACTTAATATCCACGTGAGTCTCAATTGGTTTAATTCATTGTGAACTCACTTTAGAGTTATTTTTATATAATTTTTTAGCGTTATAGTGATTCTAATGATTATATATTCAATTGAATCTAAATTATTATTATTTAAATGAATTATTTGTTCACAAAATTTCTTGCATTTCACTTAATTTAAAATAAAATATTTTATTTTCAACAAATGTATTATTCTTTTAGATTCTATAAATAGTTTGGAAACTTTCATTGATTTTCAAATAAAAATGAATTGAATTAAGTGGTGAAAGAGTCCAATGCATGGAATTGCGTAAGAATTGATAAAATATACAGAATTTATCATAAAATTAATTTTCAGCACAAATATCGGTCAAAATTGATTAGATTATCGGCAAATAATTTTCACACGACTTTCCATTGAATTAGCGTCTGTTTAAAAAAAGTTAATGATTTAATCACTTTGAGCACAACTCGCATAAGTGTAATCTGAATCCCAGATCGATATAATAGTGAAACCTTGAACTTTCCAACAAACTCTCCAATCGATTGGACTCAACCGCTATATACTTGTCTCAAAAGTCTGGAATTAACTATATTTTCGCGACATTGCATTCATTTATACAGCCTTTCCATTCAATACTATTCTTAACCATAAAATACATTTATTATTAATTACTTGTAATCTCAGATATGTTTAGAAATATCATCCGTTTTGGACGTTTTTACTAAAATTTTGATTTAAGGTTCGCATCTAAAAAAACATCTGTAAATCGGATATGAAATAAGGATAGCCTTAAATACAAGTGTTTTTGATTATTTATTATAAATTGTTCGCTGTATTAACGGTAACAAAAACTCATTTCTAGAATACTTAGACATAATTTTTCAGACCGTAATTTTGCCCAAAAAGTCATTAAAAATGAGTTTCACAAAAAAATATGGGTAAAATGTGAAAATTTATAATAAACAATGAGATAAAAACAATAATTTAGATTTTGACAAAAGTATATAATTAGTTTTCGCTGTCTTTCCAGTGGCTGTGCTCGGGATCTCTATTCAAGTGATAAGCACCTGCTCTTTGGCCCTCTTCCCTCTCCCCCGGCTTTTCAGTGCCTCCACTATCCGACTGTTATTTGGGAAATACATTTAAGCTTAGTATAATACATGATATGTTGTATAACACGAGAGAGAGAGAGAGAGAGAGAGAGAGAGAGAGAGAGAAATCAGTTATTTTGCATTTTCTTTAATCTATGACGAGAGTGAGGGTCAACTCAAATGGAAAATATTTGAAACACAATAAAAAAGACATGAATGGAAAAAATTGTGAACAAATGCACTGAAGAAATATTTTTTAGAAATGGGTTCACAAATAGTTTCACAGAAATAGTAGCAAACCTCACACCTAAACCGTTGAGGTGTTTTTAATCTGGCAAATATTTGCGTTTTTGTCCGACTCTATGAAATTCAGAATATTTATGATATACTGTATAGTCTTGAAAAATATTTTAATTTACGAATTATATTCATTATAAATCTAATTAAAAAAGTATTAATAAATAACATTAAAGTGTTTATGTTATTATAAAAATTATTGCAAAACTGGTATTATTAAAATAAATTATGTCTAATGTCTACTTAAAAGTACATTAAATCTCAATATACATTTAATCGTAATAATTTAAAGATCATATATATAATCGACAATTATAATTATAATAAATTAAAATTAATTTAAAAATAATTTGTTTCTAAAAATGTGTTTTTTAATAAATTTAATTTACTTAATACCTAATTTCGTGAGAAAGATTTCATTATTAAATCTTGCATTATACTGTATTTACGTTATATGAGACTTGTTATGACTTTTAATAAATTATAGTCAAAACAGATTTATAAGTTCATATCAAATTATGTTTTTTTCGGTAAACACATCAAAATTCATAATAATATTTAAAAACAAATTTTATTTATTAACTTTAAAATTCAAATGCTGATCAAATGAATTAATTAAATATTTATATATAACTTAAAAAGTTAAATATTTTCAAAATTTATACTCAAACACACTTTAATTCAAAGGAAACACTCTTTTATTTCATCTCTTATTATCGTATGAATTCAGATAATTGTGTTTAATTTGAGGCAAAATAAGGAAAATATAAACACTTAACTCGACTAAAAAGCATAAAATAATAATTATTTTCGTGTGTAAAAGTGTCTCAAAAAATAAGACAAACTATTTTTGAGCGTTTAATAGTGATATGGTTTATGACTTTCCAGGCTTTTATCGAAACTGATTCACTTGTTTGGAGGAAGTTTTTAATCTAAACTTTTCCATCAATACTAATACTAGAGAATCTTTATTTACAATCGACTTATTCATAAAACAAAATCTCAAAAAATACTAAAAACAGAAAATATTGTATTTGAAGTGCTTTCTTTCGTAATTATCTTATATTAAGAACTAATAATTGAAAGTGAACCCTGGGTTTAAAGTACAGTACAATAAATATATAATTTTTTACAATTTTTGTGATAATATTGATATTCTGTTAAAGTATGCAGAAAAAGTGCTTAATAATTGCAATTAATTATAGTGTAAAATAGATAAAAGCTAATCAAACGTCTCGTGAGACTAAACTTTGTTCATATTTAATCGTTTCTTATATTTTATATTTTAAATTATATTATATTATACTCTGTATTGCACTTTGTTATTATAAAACATTTACATATATCCCTATAATTAGATTGTTATTGGCGAAATTAATCTGAATGATAAAATTTATTGTAAATATTATACAATCAGAAAAGATATATTATTTCATAGCTACTGATTAGCAATATTTTCTTAATAGCTTAATATTTCCTTATTGTGAAACAGTAATAATTTCTAATTAATATAGTTTAGAAAGCCATTTAATTTTAGAAAGTTAGTTAAGAAACTTGAAATAAAATTGTATTCATTGAGAAAACCAATACAGTACTATGTATTTATGTTTAGTGTAGTAAGTATAGTATATCAATGCAAATATTGTGGCCAAATGTTTGTTCTGAAAGACATTAAATCAAATAAATGTGAAAAACAAATTGTTATCCTTTTTGAAACCCGACATCCCTTTTAACTATTTTCACAGAAACCGCCTCTCCATGCCATACCCTAATACCCGGGCCTCCCATGGCCTTCACGGCTCGATATTTATATATTTATTACACCGAAAAAATGTTAGAAATGATAAAAATAAACTAAAACTTCATATCTATTTTATGTATCCGCAAAATACATTGGAATAGTACCGTAACATATACTGTATAATTATTCTCAAAACAATAACTAATAAATAATATTTTAATAATTATATTTAAATATAGACTTGTTAATTAATTAATATAATATAATATCAGAATATACTACTGTATAATTATAATGAACATAAAAATAAATTAATAGTAAATTATTATATAAAATATTAATCTATAAATAAATTTCAATAGATTAGATAAGATAAGAATATTGTGTTTTTGGGAATAAATTATATAAACTTATTTATAAATATGTTTATTTACATAATGTTTAATCAGGTTCTTTTTGTTTAAAAGTTAAAAAAATTAACAAAGAAAATGGGAATATGTTTAGTCATCTCAGTCTTAGATCTTTAGGTGAGACTAACGATGGAAACGTTAGAAAAACGCTAAGCCATTAGTCCGTCCCTTCCTATCATTATAAGCAATATGAAGGTATGAATGGGATTGAAGTGAAGGGTTGGCCATCAAATCAAACTACTGTTTAACTCAATGAGGGATAGAGTTTCACCAGATTTGCAAACGCTAACCGTAGAGTCTTAGACACTTAGACACTACAACTTTTCAAACAATAACATGTTGACAATTGAATGTTTTCGATCGTTCTATCATGCTATGTTTATTAATTACTATTAACTACAGTGTAGTATATTACTAACTGATTACACTAATAATACAGTATTTACAAGTTAGTACTACCTAATTTACAGTATTCAAAATTAGTTGTTTTATTAAATTATATATTTCTATATATGTCAATTAGACCAAAATATAAACATTAAAATGATTCAATCATATGGTTATCAGTTCAATAACAGTGTTTAAAAGTGAACATTTAATGGGAAAAGATATACAGTATTAAGTTTATACCGGTATATACTGTACAGAAACAACTCTTTTATCAGTTTATGAAAGAAATTGATTTCATTATCAATGAAAATGAACTAATTTGTGACCCAATTTATCGCAACTTCCATGAAATTGTTATACTTTACAACCCATAGAAATAAATATCATTAAACATAAATATAATAAACAATAAGTTATGAACAATAATGTCTGCAATGAATTGATTACAACTTTTATTCTTTGAT